TCTGCTTACAGTTCGCATTTTCCTCGGCTCCAACTATGGTTTGTTGCAAATAATGAATCTCTTTCCAGACATTCATGTCTTAAGTATTTGTTTAACCATTTTAAAGTGCTATTATCGCAGAAATACGAACCTGTCCACTTAGCTGAACACCGAATCGCTGTTGATAACGAACTTGTAACTGCTCATAACGTATCTCAGTATTGGCACCATCCAACTCTTTCATGAGTCCTATCAAACGACGTTTTCCCTAGAATTCAAAATGAAATGAAATTCACTTGGATCTCATCATTTCTTGGTGAAGCTGAATATTCTCGTATGAAAACGTTGCAGTTCACTGATGAACGAATCACATTTTGAACATAAAATTGTTATCAGTCAATTTCATTATTTGCAAATCAAAGCGTTTTGGTTTATGACGAGCTGTGCAGTGTATGAAAAACAAAGACTAAGTTATCATCAAACAGGTTCCGAATGGGCTTGGTATGGATGCGATCAAGGAGCGCTATGATAGCAGCACTAACATCAATTGCGCATAGTGAAAACCATCAGCTACATGGTGTATTGTTTCGTTGGTTTTGTCCGCGATAACTTCGAAACAGAATAAAATTGAAAAATAAAGGCAACTACAACGAAAAGAATAATGCTATTTATTGGAAAGTACTTGCGAATGTCTGTTTTCTCGTAAAATATCTCAAAGCCCAAAGCGATAGCTCTCAGTGATGGCATTTGTGATGGCCTCGAAGAAGCAATTCAACAGATGCGTCTTCATTCGGCAGTAATCCTCATTCACTAACCTCAATATATGCTGCTCTGTTCTCCGCTATATGCAGTTCACATTGCTTCTCGATTTTAATTGATCTGAAATGAATTGCCATTTGCGTGATCGCATTGATAATTACATATCAAACGCTATGGAGTAATAGAGAAATTTTCTCAAGCAAACATGGAGGAGTGCATCAAAGGTGCAAGGTTGAAGCATTTTAAAAGTTCATTGCATTATCAATATTGTTATTATCTGATTACTTTTTTCATTATGCAGTACTTTTGGCCACTAAAATTATTGCGAGAAGAATCAAAGTTTCAAAATGTATGAATGCAAATTTCAGTGTTACACTCACAATCAGAAGCTGGAAGAACAGAATTGCTGCAAATGGGAAACTTACTTTGCTGGTTGGGCGGCTTCTAAACTGAGAAGAATTTGTTGCAGATGTTTTATGGATTCGATAGGTTTTAAACGGAAGACTCTTTCGTTTCTGTCGTTCAAATCTACTTCAATATAATCACTGAGTGCGCCCGAACTGATTGTGAACAATTTATCCAAATTTGCAAAACCAAATATTTGGGCGAGACGATCCGGATTAAGGTGCCAATCGTTACTGCGAAAGAAATAAAACAGTACTGACATTAAACTCGTTGAATATTTAGATTATGAGTGCATAAACTGCAAAAGAATTACAATCGGTTGACAATGTGTCGAGTATCTCGTTTTCCAGACAGACATTTTGCAGACAGTCGGATATATATGAATGCAGTAATGAGCAGAGACAATGATAAGCGAAACGATTCTACAAATACGACTGTTTCAATCATAAGAAGTTGTTGAAATTGAACTGAACGCATGATACCACAATCACTTTCAATCAGCTGAGATTTTCTGACTGAATTCATTTGAACCTATAGAATAAACGAAATTATATAGAACGCTCTTCTTAGTACGGCGTAGTGAAATATTAGTTATGATTGTTGTTTAGTAGTAAACCAATAGAACGTGCCGGCTGCTCACTACACAGAACTTGTATTTACGAAAATACAGAAATGAGACGATTAGCACAGTAAAATTTGAAATAGAAATGGTAACGGTTGTGATAAGTGTTGTGAGGTTTGGATCAAGAATAAGGAATACGAATAAAGTCGATAATAATGGTGATATTAAATATGATCACGATAGCATGACAATGTCGAATTCACAGTGGGACAGTATGATATTAAGAAGGACTTGGAACATGGAAAATAGTGACGGTGTGGGAATACTCAGCAATAACAAACTGCAGCTTTTATTTCGACGAAGGTCGACAACACGACTTGATTGGATTGCTTGGGATGAAAATACAGTGATCACGGAGGAGGTTTTGAAAACACTTGATTCAGACGAGGTCACACTGATTTCAGGAGAATACTTGATGCTTTGATCAAGAAAAGTTGATAGAATTTGAACTTAGCTGAACTTAGAAACTGGTGAATAGTCGAAATTCGAAATTTGATGGACAGTTGGAGACGGTAACAACGTTGGAATCAATGAGTGGATCAAAAAAATATTTCGAAGAAGGATATTTGAGGTTGAAATATTGAATTATTGGGGGCATAACTTAATGGAGAAAATGCTAAACAAACGATGAAATTAGAATGTGAAAAGGAAAATAAAAGAAATGGTGAGTAAAGGGTTTTTTTGTGCAGCTGTCGGCGATGATTTTGTTGCTGCTCTTAGATATACGAGCTGGATAGTTCGCGATCATTACAATTTTAAAGAACTGACAGGAATTCATAGAAAGTGGTATTTGAGATAAAGCGTTAATATTAGGAATAAGAGAGGATGCAAACTGATGTTGTGAGCTCACGACATACGATGAAGTTGCTGTTTTATGTTAGTTGTGTGAATCTACTAATCACTTGATGCATGGTAGATGAAGTCAGAGCGCAATTTCGGATTCAGCGCGCTTGATCACAAGCAATTAGCACATTCGCTTGATCAACAAAGCTAAAACTGATTGAACATCATCAACCGACAGAATGGGATGTGGTTTTCGCTCACAATATGATCATCTCGAAAATGGAATAAATTATAAATTTACACAAATTTATTGGTGAGCTGCTCAGCGGTTAGTCCTTTGGGATGTGGATATAACGATGAGAATATAAGTGAAGAGCAACGCTTCAGTGTGATTTCAATGCTGTCCTCATCAACGTCGATCGCCTCATCAGGTTCACTGTCAGTAACCATTTCCCGTTCAATTTCATGCATATTGAAGTCAACTTCTGGTTGCTTGAAAGAAGTGTTTTGCAGCGATTCACTGTCCGACTCTTGTATCATCTCAATGTTTTCATCGTTCACCACATAATCCTCGTCCCACAGATTATCATCACTTTCGAACTGCATTCTTTTCACTGAATCGACTAAAATTTTACTCCAAACAACTACGAACCAACCATTAGATAAGATTCAATTGCGCACTTCCCTCTGCTCTTGTCATCCGTTTGTTCTGAACAGTAGACATATGACCTTTAACAAAAAAAAAAAGCTGGCAAGTACCCCTTGGAATGAGGGTTTAGCATATAAGGATTCCACAAGGTTGCGCTACGACGACTTCTCGTTGTTAGCTTTCACAGCTATATTCATTCTGTTCGTTTTGTGCGCACTTACGAAGCGTTTTCCTCTAATTCTCTCGCCTTTCAACAT